GGGGAGAGTGGGGGATTTCAGCTCCAGCGTGGAACCTAGAGAAGGCAGAGGAAGGTTCTGTCACGTGGGTTGAGCCTTAGAAGGTGGATTTTCAGAACTGCGGGGTGTGACCTTTCCGCCTCGAAAAGCGTGAAATCCTACAAGGTGCTGTTTGTTCTAGGTTCTGGGAGAGAGGTTTGTGCTTTCGAAGTTTCTCGTTCCCTTCCATTCCTTCTCTTTCCCTTCCATTCCTAGTGACCTCTTCTCAGCCGTCCAGGACTAGGTAGAGGTTTGCAAAGGAGCAAGGGAAGACTGTGTGTGGTTCGTGTTCAGTGCTATATTATTTTCTGCACTGGGGACTGTGCGAGTTTCTCGGGTTTGTTTGGATTGCCCTTTACAATAAAAACCCTTTGCCAGGGAGACCCCTTGGGAAACGAAGAACAGGGTTTATAAAGGGGACTCCAGGTTTGGTTTTTTAATTTCCTGAAGGGCAAGAGATACCTCGTGTTAGCATTTTGCTTGGCTTTTAGAAGAGGTAGAAATAGAATAAACGTATGTCTTTGCTGGAAGTCCCCTCTATTCGTTTAAATTATTCCATCGGGATTTTCTGAGCCCCCTTTGATTTGAATTTGGAAAAGATCCAGTTTTCCTAATTGGAGCCATCATTTCGTAATTGCCTGTAATTCTTCCCTGGGTTATCAAATCTATGGCAAGCTTATAGAGCGGTAGGAATAATTTTTTTTTCGTTATCTTGATTAAGACAGTTTTAATGTAAATTTGATGTGAACATTTGCAGAATAGCATAAGTTTAAATTACGAGTCCGTTGGAATTTTGCAAAGCCTTTCCCTCCCCAACTCATCTTCTCCAGGAACAGAACCCTCCCCATTCTTTACACTGAAGAAGCAAGGGCTTCTGGGATGGTAGCTTCGCCTTTGGAAACTCATGCTTATATTTGCTTAAGAGTACCTACTAAAAAGGCATACGCCTTTAATGTGGTGAGGCTATACGTGCTTTCCCATTTTGGTTACATAAGGTTCCAATCTAGTCTTTACCTTCAGTCTTTAAAAATGGTTATTTAACATTTTTAAGAGCAAATATAATCTTTATGCAACAGGAAATTGGTCGGGTAGGCCATGATTTGTGCAAACTGCCTTGCAATAAGTACGTAGTCGAAGACTGCCATATAGGATCTGTAACCATATATGGTTTTTAAAATTCTACGCTTCCATTCCCATATTGAATTTTTGGAGAAGGAAAGCTTTTTTTTTAACCAAGTCTAGATTTTTGAGTGAAACTTTCAAAAAAATTTGTGTAAGATTCCTCTTGTATACCAGTGCATTGGAGCTAATTTAGTTATCTACCAAACGAACGGACCACTTAAATAATTACTTTGTTTACTGGAAATACTGAACTGGAAATAGAGATTCTGATCTCAGATTGATGAAATGCATTTAAATAAGCACTATTAAATGCACCATTTCTAACGTTACTGTGATACACATTCTGTATACAGGCAACAATCTAAAACTTATGCATTTAAAAATACAATTTAAGTCTGATTGTTTTCTCTCTTAGGAATAGAATGCTGAGAGTGGTAAAAAGAGGGAAGCATGTTGATGGGTGTTGGGGACTTCAGTTTCTCCAGACAAGAGGAGTAAATGGATGTCTTCAGCCAGCTTTTTGAGAACCTGTTGTTTGCCCTGCAGGACTGGAGGGGGAAAAAAGATGAAGAAATCTCAGAAATTGATGAAAGTGTGATCAAATATCTTTCTAAATAGTCTCAAAGATTTTGCTTATAGCCATTGGAAGAATAATTGGCAAATCAAGCCTTTGCATAAATTTGACCCTCACCCCTAAAGTTTTGACATTTAAAAAAAAATAACAGTTTGTTGAAGGAATGGAAGCCAACCTTCAGAGGCCGATCCCTGTTTTTCTGCTCCCCACCTCCTGGGTCCCTTCTGCCCCACACCCCTCCCTTATCCCCCCTCTGGTGCCAGCAATATTGGGAGTTGAACAAATGTTTGTGCTTGCTTGAACTTTAGGCCTTATCTATTTGGCTGCTTTCCCCAACTTTTGCCTACAAAATTTTTTTGGTTAATTGAACTTTCCAGTTGTTTGGATTTAGGGTAAAAGGGAGTAGGCTGTAATTATTTTCTCTTAAAAAGTTCCTTTCTTTCAGCTCCTGCTGGACAAGAGCAAAGAAAGGTTCTTTTTTTTTTTTTGGTAAACAGAATACTTAATTAAGCAGAATATATGACCATTCATTTATTCAACAAACGTTTACTGAGTTGCCACCTGTGTTGGAGGCTCTGCTCTAGGTGCAGGGATACATGGTGGATAAGAAATGGCTCCCGCCTTTTGGGGCAGTTATCAAAACGAAAAACAGACCATGAATTTGTTTTGAATAATCAAGGGGTGTCCAGAGTCTTTGGGGCATTAACATAGCACTTTACATACATTAAACATGCTTCAACCATGTGCACAGTGGAGTCATTTCTGGCCAGGGAAATATTCATGGTATAAATAGTACCTCACCTTCCCAACTAAGACATACTTTTTCATTTTGGGTAATAATATGGTTTATAAGTCATCTTTTAGAAAAAGATTTTATTTATTTATTTGAGAGAGAGAGAGAATGAGAGAAAGAGCACAAGCAGGGAAGAGGGAGAGGAAGTAGCAGACTCCCCGCTAAGCAGAGAACCTGATGTGGGGCTCGATCCCAGGACCCCGGGATCATGACCTGAGCCGAAGGCAGATGCTTAACCGACTGAGCCACCCAGGCACCTGGTTTATAAGTCGTCTTAAGGCCTATGGCCTTTTTTAGCAAAAGATACGTTTTATGTGAAGTACATAGGACTTAGGAGACTTCCTGATTTAAGTTCCACACTTTATATCACTTCATGGAGCTGTGAGGAGATAGCGGCCAGGCCAGCATTCCTTCCCGTGACTTAAAATCATCTTCTGACAGCAGATGGGGCCAAACAAAATTATTCTGTGGTCAACTTTGGGTTATGGATGACGGATGATGATACCCAGAAGAGTGAATGATACTGAAGAGTAGCTCTAGTAAACCTTCGCCCTCCTGCCGGGGTACCTCCTGAGATCTTTGTGCATTGCCCTGTTTGTGGATAGTGCTAGACCAGTAGTTTTTAACTGGGGCAGTTTTGCCCCCCCCCAACGGGACATTGAACAATGTCTGGAGACATTTTTGGCTGTCATGAATTGGGATGCGGCATGCTGCTGGTGTCTAGCGGGTGGATGCCAAGGATTTGGCTTCGACAGTCTACATCACCTGGGGCAGCCCCCACAACAAAGAATTACCTGACCTGAAATGGAAGTTGTGCTGAGGTTGATGGAATTCCTTCTATGAGATGCAGTAAAACGTAACTTCAGGCAGAGTAGAAAGCAGTAACAGCGTCTCGGCGAGACATTCAGTGTTTGCAGAGTTCACCCTACTAGTCTTAAAAGTGACTAGTCCCAGTACGTCGACCTGAATGATTGAAAGACCAGTAAGAGGTACCATCTACGGGACTTGCGCTGTGCCAGGCCCTCGTATACATTCTATATTCTTTTCATCTTATACATGAGGAACCAGGCTCAGAGAGGCAAAGTGACTTGCTTCAGGTCTTTCGGCTGGTCAGGGTTGGAAGCAGACATCAAAAATAAGATCATCTTACTCCTCAAGAAGTTCATGGTTTTTGAGCACAACGTTGTTGTACCATCTCCCTTGTGGCGTGCTCCATTCAAAATCTTACTTAACAACATTAAAATTACTACATGTCCTATATACCATTGGGCTTGCTTGAGAGTAATTAAAACCATGAACTTTAAATTTGATCATACTTGGAAGTAAGTGGCCAGGAGTAGGGGGAGAAAGGGAACTGACATTACTTGAAGGCCTGCTATAGTTCTAGAAAATACATCCATTGAATTTACACCCACTGTGTAATTTGATCCTCCCAGCAACTCTGCAAAGGAACGATGCGCATTTCACAGATGAGGTTAGGGAAGTAACTTGTCTAAGATTGCACAACTAAGTGGGAGAGTTGGGATTTGAACGTAAGTCCCATGACTAAGCCCCGGTGCCTTGCTGCTTTCTAAATCTTGGGGTCGGTGTAGGGGGGTGAGTTGAGCATGCTGCAGAAAGGTGAGTAACTGGTCCTGGATTAAAAAAAGACTTCAGAGGTAACGTGTCATAGATGATGGATTATATTCAGGTGGAGAATGGGGAGGTGAATCACTGTATTTTTCTCCACTGATGAGAATTGAGGTCAGCAGGGAATTTGTTCTAGGGATCTACCCGAACTAAGCCTGTAATTGTCATTTTGGAGAACTTCATCTGCTCTCTTTGCTATCTTACTTGAATTTTTCAAATACTGTTTCGATAACCATGACACTGGAAATTAGCTAATGGTGTTTATATTCTTTCTGCGGCTCACCTTCTACCTCTTAGGACTCTCTTGTAGAACTTAGTAATGACAGCATTTGGTTCTGTCATCTTTTTAAACAATTTAAACATTTGTTTTTGCCATGGAAGTTGTTTTTATAATAAACGTCATCAAACTCATACTTGTGTTTTCCATATGAGGGGTGTGTTTTGTTTTGACAGCTAAATATTTATTTTAACTTTTGATGTGTTTTCGAACATAACAAGAGGAGAAATTAAAAAAAAAAAAAAAAGCCCAATAGCAATCATGTTTTGTCTGGCAAGCAGTTTTTTTTGTTTTTGTTTTTGTTTTTTGTGGGTAGAAGGAGGACTTCATGTTTCATTTCATTTACTTTAAATTGGAAAGGAATTTCAACCATGATTCTCAAGGGCCAGGATGCTGGGGGAAAAAAATGAAATGTTATTTAGATAAAATGCATGCTTTGATTTCCACATAGGTTTGGGAGCCATAGATTCTGATTATAATAATAATGTCGTGATTCGGACTGCAGCAGTCAGCCACTGGGGTGATCAAGCACTGGGTATGGGCATGCATCATGATATGGATTTTGTACCCCCCCCCATGATTTTAGAGTAGACTTGAGAAAGCTGATAAAACTTGCAAGAATGCACGAATCCTTTAAAAAATCCAACTTTTTCATGACAGTAGTGGTACTTTTTCATTGTAGGGAAGTTCAGAAAATACAGAAAAGCTTAAAGAAGAATAGAAAAATCAGTTATAACCCACCACCCATAAATTAGTGACTCTTTTTTTTTGTATTTCTTTTTAAAGGTGGATTTGAGCGAGTGCACTGCAGAGAGTCCAACTTGCAAATGTAGCCTAAGTCATTTTTTAAGAATTTTACCAAAAGGTTTTTTGAGTTACTATTGTATCTCTAGAGAGAAGTCATAGTCCTAAGGAGTGAAATGGGAACAGTGCTATGGAGTT